GAGAGAGAGAGAGAGAGAGAGAGAGAGAGAGAGAGAGAGAGAGAGATTAATCGAATTGAAAGGCTAACATTCTCCCTTGAATCCTGTGTCACTACAGGAAAATCTATTAGCCACAGTTCCAGACTTATAAAAGTTATGTGGTGATTAGAAAAGCACAGTGAGATATTCAGCACAGCCACAATAAGAAGTCTCCCCTGAAACCCTAGAATCACGATCTAGAATGAAAGTGGCAGCTGCTTTTGGAAGGGGGGCATCGTTTAAAGAGCAAGGGACTGTTGCTGAGGACAGCGGAGGGACAGACAAGTGCATTCCCAGGGCAAGGGTGCCTCTGGAGGAAGACGTGACTAGACTATGTCTGATGCACTGATGTCCTGCGCTCTGAGGGCCGAGGTCCACAGAGACGGCAGAGAACGGCACAGTAGGGCAGTGGCTTCTCTGAACGTCTCCAGCACTGTCCCGGAGAGGCGTAGGGGCTGCCAGAGCTCCAGTCCCAGGGCCACCATTCACTAATTTGTATGACCTTGAAAAAGTTACTCAAGCTTCCCAATGCCTCTGATGCCTTGTATGAAGTAAGAGGATGAAAATCAGAACCTACTGCATAGGATTCTCATGAGAATTAAATGAGACAATGTTTTTGTAATGCTCAGAATAATACCCAAGCAGTACATAGTAAATGCTCAAAACAGTGCAAGGTAAATGCCTATGTTATTTATAAATTTGCCTGACAAATTATGCAGAAATTTCAATCAAGTGTGCCTAGTGCAGAAAGGGCACTAGGGAAGTGTGAGGTGTTATTTTATGAGAGAAGGAGCTGGGAGTTATGAGTTTTTGTATCCTGGGAATGATATATTTCTATGACAAGGGCAGGATATTTGCCAGTTCCTGTGTTGTGATTCTGCATTCAGTAACCTTTAGTTAGTAACTGCATTCTATGTAAACACTCTGTCAAAGAGAAAAGGTACTGGCCAGCTGGTTCTGATACAACCAATAGGCGACACTTCATTAATTTAGGATACAAAATAAGGTCACATTTCCATTACAGTTCAATTTGGAGAGACTTTAAACCATTTCTTGACCAAATGGAGTCCCTTCCTGACCAGCTATCAGGGCTTTCCAGGGGTCCTTTCCCCATGAATACGCTTTAGGAGCAAGGGCTTGTTGGAGTCAATCAACAGGAATTTACGAAGCACTTATGTATCAGCACAGCCGAGGCTCTGTGGGCACCAGTGAATAAACTCCACCCAGCAGCAACAAAACAGTGGGCTCAAGAATATTGGAGGTGGACATTGAGAAGCACTAAGAGAAGCAGCACGAAAAGTGAGAGGAACCTGTGGGCAGATGGGAAAGGTGGATACAATTTTAAAGGAGCCAGTAATAGCAGGAGCAGGAGGACCCAGCTGGCCTGAGAGCCAGATAGTTGGCTTTGTTGTCCCCCAAGCTGGGTCATTCTCCACCTTGTACCTCCCCTGCTGCTGAACTCAAAGGCATCCCAGGATACTCATCACGGCCATGACCAGCCCTCCCACACGCATCCTCTTCATCCTGAAAATGCACGCACAGCCTCAGAAGGAGACCATGGAGGCCAGAGCCCCCTGCTTCCAGGTCCACCCCTCTCCATCCTCTCCCACCACCCACCTCTGAGTTGGGCGCTGCGATCACAGAGCTCCTCCCCAATCTTCTTTGCAACCACAGGCAGAGCCCGGAGTGGTGGCAGACGCCTGGAATCCCACCGCTCGGAAGGCTGAGACAGGAGGATCGCTGCAAGTTTGAGACCAGTATGAACTCCACAGTGAGACCCTGTCTCAAAAATCAAAACCAAACCAGGATAAATCAATCAACCATGGGCAGAAAGGAAGAGCTTCCTGACCCCAATAGACCACCTTCAAGTCAAGCTGTCAACATGGATTTATTTCCAAGGGTTTGGGGCCTTCTATCTCAGCCTCTGTTATCTGTTACAAGAGTATTCTGATTCAGAGGTCAACAAACTTTCTCTGCAAAGGGCCGGAGAGTATTTTAGGTTCGTGAACCATATAGATTTCTGCTACATGGTTTTTGTTTTAATTTTATAATACATTAAAAATGTTTTTTAAAAACATTAAACAGGCCTCAGGCCATCGTTTGATAGCCCCTAGGCCAGTACATTTACAGGTCATTTATATTAAAATCAATAAATCATTTTCATGGTTGATAAAGCAGCATTTCACTAGTTTATTCTTGGCAGTTAATTCCACATTCACAAGATACAAACGCCTGCTGCATGGGATCATGGGTAAGACCCAGCACATAGTAGCCACTCAATCTGTTGCAGGGTGAGAAAGCTCTATTTTTGGAACCCGCAGTTTGTCCCTGTGGTTCCTCCTCTTCAGGAGGGAATTATCTACCATGGAAGGAAGTCCGTGGCAGAACCCTGGCTGTGGAGGGTGACGGTCCACGGCGTGGCTGGGAAGGAGACAGAGGGAGGGTGACGCTGCTCTGAGGGAGACGCTGATGACCGAGGGAAGCTGAGGAAACAGCGGGTGAGAGGAGGAACAGGGCAAGCAGAGGGTAGACAGCATGTGAGGCCCAGAGAAGGTAGACAGGGACACGGACCAGTGGCTGAGTGGATGAAGTCTTCTGTAAATCAGCAGGATTGCTAATACACCACTGTATTTTCCCGGAAAGTCCAGGAAGACAACTTTGGGCTGGCTTCGGCTGGAAGGACACCCTAACAGCCCCTTGGCGTCCATTTCTATCAGAGGAGGGCTGCTCCCCAAAGCAGCCTGGGGTGTATGACCAGGAAGAGGGACCACGGGACAGGCAAAGCAACAGAAGTCCACTGCATGCTGCACATCCACATTGCCTACGAGTGGAACAAGGATCCACGTTCCCGTCACACATGGGAGAAAGAAGGGAGCAAGCTCGGTGTCGCTCAGTGGAAAAGGGGCTCAGAGATAAAGGTGACACTGAGAAATGAGTCCCTAGAAATCCACAGAAGGAATTTCCCAAGCTGTCGGAAGTAACTTGAATAACATTAAAATTTAGATTATATATATAATTTCCCTTAGCATGTAACCCTAGTGAAACTATAAAATAAAGGATCAAACCCAGCTCCTCCAGGGTCATTACCTGAGCACCCACTAAACCCCTCCCATATGCAGCACAGGGCCCCTCATCTAACAACCTCCAAATTAGACAGTCCTTCAATATGGGATCTAGGGTTTGGAATTATGAAAGGATCTTAGATTTTCCAGGCATTCACTTTATTTACCTGCCCATCAGGCTCTGGGCTTGGTTCTCAGCTGTGTTCCCTAGACCAGCACAGCAGCAGTATCGGCTGGGAACTTGCTAAAAATCCTAATTCTAACGTCCCATCCCCAAGCCACCACTACAGAAATTCAGGGTGAGGAGGGCTTGGAGAGGCTGTAAATAGTCAGTGGTAAAGCAAGCAGCCCCCCCAAGTGCTTCTCATTCAGGCTTGATTTTAAGAATCTGCGTCTAAGAGTCACAGATGGTTAGTGAAGAACAATTGGTTTCCACTCATCTGTTTGACCTCACTCAAATCTCTCTACTGAAATTCAGACTACCTCCTTCATGTACCAAGTGGTAACGTTTCCATGAACCCTGCATCCGTGCTCCAGAGGCGTGGATTTCCACAGCTACTCCTAGAGTTATGTCTCTGTTTCAAAGACTGAATTTTTCTTCTCAGTCAATCCTGACTCTGTTTCGACACCCATCTTCCCCCATTATTTCCTGAGACTGTGAGGGTTGTTACCAGTATCCAATCTCTTCTTCAACCACTCTTGCCTGTAACTTTAATGCCTCTGTCCCTACTGGTAGAAGGACACTTCTTTATTTTTTACTGGTACTGAGGATTGAATCCAGGGCTTTCACACTGAGTTATATCCCAACCCAACTCAAACTTGAGATCCTTCTGCCTCAGCCTCCCTCAATGCTGGGGTTACAGGCGTGCACCAACTAGGATACCTCTAAAATTCTAATGCTTCTAGGTAATTCAGAGGACAGAGTAATCTAGCTCATAGAGCTGGGGAACACGCTCTGGCCTTGGGATGCCATCCAGCATCATTGCCTGGAAGAGGTATTATGCCACTTGGACCTTAGTTCAAAGAAGTACATACTGGCCATGGCTTCTGCAAATCCAGAGCTAATTATTCGATCGCAATATTTTCTCAATTTTCTCCTACTTTATCCTATTTCCAGTGCCCTAACAACCCAATCCCAGGAGAAACTACGAAGACATTATCAGGAGAGACAAAGTAAGCCTTCTTGCAGGAGCTCCAAGACTCAGCCATTTGTCCCCTCAAGGAAGCCATAGTTGTGTTCGTTCTCATTGGATCTGGTGCCTTGGGACATACAGCACTTTCCCATAGTCACTTAAATGCTTCCAGGCCAGTCTGCGCCCACCTAACACTGTGGGATGTCCCACAACATCAGTAACTGAACCAAATACTACAATCACATAAGCCATGCTGACTAAGGACGGTGGACATGAGTTTCAGAAAAGAGTGACACATTATCACTAGGCAGTCCAGGTATAGGAATCAAGAAATGCAGCCTGTTAAGTGTGACATGGAGGCCTATAATCTTAAACTTTGTGTTTTATACATTTAGCCAATAAAGAATGAATATCTGGGGAAACAATTTAAGCTAAATATTTTTTTAAAAAATACAGCCTGTTTGAAGGCTGGACAGCAAGGAGGAGAAGTATCAAAGCCTGTTTAAAGGTAGGCTTCTCACACCCAGCCGGAACACGCAGTACAATGTCCTCATGCATGATGTGGGACTGTTCTGTTTCAGGACTGCCGTCTGTCCTCCTCACGATGCACAAGGGACAGCTTTGACTCTGTGAGCCTTGGGCTCCTTTTCTTTTTTATAGTTTTAAAACAAAATTGAGATCATACAATAATTATAGTGTATAGTTTATGTTTTCACTTCCTGATTAACAACCTTTTCAGGCCATTGTAGATCTTTCTACATCAGCAATTTCTTGACTGTGTAGTTTTACTGTAAATAAATCAGCATCAGAATCTAACTAACCACACTATAAATAACCCGACAGAGATGTTTATGCTCCAGCATGCATTGCCTTCTTACTTCAGTCTGCCATTTAGAAATATTCCATTTCTAAATATTGATAAAACATCAATATAGAAATAGCTCCCTTTGTTCCACTTGATATTCAGATACTGAATTTGATTACTATTATTTTAATACAGTATTAGTACCTGTGGGTAGGTTCTCTTTCATTGCATTTGTCTCTGATGTTTTTGCCAAATCTTTACTTTCCAATTTTTCTGTCAATTTCACGAATAGCTTATGGCTAAATTTCTTTCTTTCTTTTTTCACTCAACCTGGGAGTCTAATGCTTTTTGACAGACATTTTTAGAGTATTCACAGATATCATGAGAAGTTATACTTGATCTTTGTTCTGTGTATTTTATGGTTTGAATTTTTAATACTTGCTTCTTTTTTTCTTTAGGCAGGGTCTCACTATGTAGTTGGGATTGACCCAGAACTCATTATGTAGCCCAGGCTGGTCTCAAACTCACAACGATCCTCCTGCCTCACCCTCCCGAGTGCTGGGATTACAGGCGTACACCACCACGCCCAGCCTCTTTTTCTTGTTATAGTAATCAAATTTACTTACTTCTCCATTCATGATTTGGAAATTTTTACCACGCTGTTTTCTATTTGAACTTAATTTAAAAATGTATTAATATATCTGAACTATGCCTCTGTTTCATTACTTAAAAAAAAAACATACAAGTAAAACATAAATATTTTGCATTTACAAAGTTCAAATGTACATGTACTGATTCTACACAAGGAATGTAAACATTATGAACTGCAAACATGTACAAATGAAAATAGGCTTTTAAAAAGACCAAAAGGCCAATCATAACCAAAGTGCACACAATGAAAAAATGTAAGTTTCCTTCATGACTCCCAATCCTACCACTCCCAACTCCAACAGGGAACGGCTACCTGAACTTTGATATGCACTTATTCAAACCTTTACTTTGTGTGTGTGTGTGTGTGTGTGTGTGTGTGTGTCTGTGCACACACACACACACACACAGATTTGCAGATATTTAAAAAACACAAATAGGATCAATATGTATGTTTTTCCACTACCGCATTTGCTTCTTTCATTTAATAATAATTTCATTGTAGATAAATGTAACTATTGTTTGCTTTAAATGTACCACTAAACTTATTGGGAAAATAATAATAATAATAATAATTTGGGGCCAGGGATTTAGCTCAGTGGTTCGGTGGCCTGCCTTGCAAGCACAAGGACCCAAGTTCAATCCCCAGTACCAAAATAATAATAAGTACTGTTCAGTACTTACATGTGTGTCTTTTGTACTGTCACAGCAGTCCGTGACATGGACTTATTGTAATTTATTGTAAACACTTCTCTGCTGATAAATGTTTAGAGCCCTATTTTCACTATAACAATGTTCTAATAAAAATTTTTACATACATATTTGTAAACCTGTGCCGATATTTTTATGGTTTTAATACCTAGATGTGAAATTACTGAATCAAAAGGTATGCACATTTAAGTTTCTGATAGTACTACCAAATTATCCTTCAAAAGTTACACCAGTTTATTACTCTAATCTCCATGGGTGTACCTGTTGCCTCAGTGTGCATCATTACTAATGCTGGGTTTTAGCAATCATTAAAAGCTTTGCCTATATGATGGCTGAAATCATTTTATGTAACTGCTTTAATTCATAGCCCTTTGATGGATGGTGAGGTTGTGAGTCTTTCCATACTTACAGATGCTTTGGAATATCTGAGCTCCCTGTACCTTGTCTCATATTATTCATCTTCTTTTCATATAAATTTGTAACCACTCTTTATTATGGATGTTATTCCTTTGTCAAAAATATTTGCTAAAAATTTATATTCACTAATCTGTAGCCTAATTTATTTATGGTGGCTTTTATCCTAAAAAGTTTAATTTTTTTTTGGAGACAGGGTCTCACTCTGTAGTTGAGACTGCTCTGGAACTCACTATGTAGCCCAGGCTGTTCTTGAACTCACAGTGATCCTTCTGCCTCAGCCTCCCGAGTGCTGGGATTATAGGCGTGTGCCACCACACCTGGCAAAAGTTTAATATTTTGTAGGATTCAAATCTGTGAGTATTTTCCTTCACACCTTCTGAGATTCATGTCTTCCTACTATACTGAACAATTACAAAGAGGTCTGATTTTTTCATAGTAATTTTTAAATTCATATTTTTTAATTTACATGGAGTAAAATTCTCTTTGGGACAAGTAAAATTCTCTGTGAGCTTGAACAAATTTATACAGCCATATAACACCAACAAACAAAACACAGAATAGTACTAGAACCCCTAAAACTCATTCCTGCCCTTTCTTCCATACCATCCTGAGCAACCACTAATATTCTTAAGGAATTTTTCATAAAATGGAAACATAAAGATGTAGCCTTTCTTTGGACTCCTTTCACTTAGCATAATGCAATGACAGCCATCTGTGTTGTGTATATAAGCTTGCTTCTTCGTATTGCCCGTTAGTACTGTATTCCATTATAGGGAAGTACAATAATTTGTTGATTCATTTTACCAATTAAAGGAAATTTGAATTGTTTCTGATGGAGCAATTAAAAATAAAGCCATTATGAATATTTCCATTCGATTTTTAGTAAACATAAGTTTTTATCCCTTTTGGCTAAATACCTAGGGGACAAACAGATCATATAGTGTAAATGTGTGTGTGTGTGTGTGTGTGTGTATGTTTAACTTTATAAACTATCAAACTATCTTCCCAAGAAGCTATACTCTAGAAAGTGGCTTTGCACTTAGTACTGTCCAGTTTTTTTAAAAAACACACACAAATTCTAATAGGCAGGTAGTGGTACCTCACTGCAAGTTTAACTTGTGTTTCCCTAACAACCAATAATTTCAAGCATCTTTTTGTATACATATTTTCTATCCCAATACATCTCTTTGGGTGATGTGAA